AGTCAAGCATAATAGGTACTGAAGTGCAATTCCAGTCCAGCCACTGCCAATCCAGCTCTTTCAATCTAGTCCAGTTTGGAAAAATCTCAGTCCAATCCAGACAAAGACATCATGTTGTCTTAATCTCATACAAACAATCCTCAAGACAAGCAGAATAGGTGCAAACTCGCAGTTCTGCCCATTTTCCAAGCCTCTTTATGGCTCAACCTGATTATAGCTCTGCCAATACAGTCATTGGTATCGATTTCCAACTAATCTTCATTAGTTGAACGTACTGACGTGCAATTCCAGTACAAGAAAACTCAATCCATAAGCTAGAAGTTTAGTCAAGCCTGACCAGAAGTCAATTATGCAAGGTGATTCCTATAGGAAATGAAAGTTCAAGTCTCTGAGACCTTTCAAGAATTGGCAATTTTTATTATACTTTACAGTTCAGTCAGTTCTGCTTGAACTTGTGTGTCTTATTTTCCAAACAAGTGTATTTTGCTTAACTTCCCAGTTTTATTGAGAGAAATTATAAAGTCCTCACCCAGGTAGGAAAAGAACTTACTTGGGAGATATTACTCACCCAAATTCACAATCACTTGATCAAAGTCAATGGGGCACAAGTTATTACATCTTTCAAATTTGTTAGGGTTTTTAACCGTTAGCAGTGGTACACTCTAACATAAAAGAAAGTTGACTTACTGACTACAAATGGTTTTTAAGTCAATTGGGAACTTTACTTAACTGCTACAGGTACAACAGAAAAACGAATAAACAGTTTCATCAATTAACGGGTAACCTTAATTAATTTCATGGCAATGGCCTCTATGTACAATGACTACATTTGACCAGATTGAAGATCAGTACTTAGTTACATTTGGAGAATTTGTAGGAGTAGTTTGGGCAATATCACTCACTTTTCTTGAGAACCGCCCCCCTTGATTCCCCCGGTGTTTCATTACAGCCATCATCAACTTCCGGATAACACTGTGTTCAGACATGGACATGGAATTATAAGCACGAAAGATGTAGATGGCAAGAGCAATGGAGGATGTGCCTCCTGTGAAAACGAACAACGCCCAGAAATAACTGGGGCTGAGACTAGGACTAAGATGTTCATCCTCCTCCTGATCCATGTCCATGCACTTCTGAGACGCAAGCATTTTTTGTTCCAAGTCTTGTAGCATTCCGTCTTCAGACGCCTTCAGCATTGCTTGAGTTACACTAGGAAGCAACTGAGATCCCCTTGGAAATGCCTGCAGAACAAGCAAGAAAATTTTGATTAAATGATTAAATCCCACCATGCATTTTGTTGCAGCAATGTAGTTGCCCAAATGAGAAAAGCTTCTTTAGAATAAGGTAGAAAATTTACAAATCCAAATCCCCCAACACTGTATGTAGGTCCAGTCATGGTGAAGCTTTTGCAGTTTTCTGCAAGGAACACCTTGGCCAAAGGAAGGTCAAGAAAGAGGGCTGCAACTTCTCTTCTTCTGAGGGCTGGAGCGTACTCATCACCCCTGGAGAAGTTCTTGATGTTGTTGTGACGGAAGTGCAAAACTTCCTCCAGATATTTCGAAATATAAGATGCTCCGGCACAACCAACTGTTGCATTTCTGTTTTGCAATGCAAAAACATCAACCACAGTTGGTTCAAGCTGTGGCAGAGTCAGCAAGCTGGCGAGCTTAGCAGTGTAAGTCTGTGTGATAACTAGAGCCATGAACAGCCACACGACCATTGTGATCCGTGACAGATTGCTATTCAACTTGTTCCCTTTGTTCAATCAGTGAAAGATAGATAATTAGTTGATGTTTTTAGATGAGTTTCGAAGTTAAAGCTTGTGAAGGAATTCTATGAATGAAGCAAATTATTTTTATTCTTACCATTCAAGGAGAAAAGAGTGCTGAAGGCTAACCAAATCAAGGTTCCTACTTGATTTGAGATGGAGCCTTTGAGTTCAGGGCAGTGGTTTCTCTCTATCAACCATATAACAAAGCCATTGTAGATACTTGTGGCTCCTATTAAAACCCACATGGCGTTTGTGAAAGGCTTTATGAATAACCATGCTTTCTCTCGTGTTCTTGAACGAACGGGTACTATCATTACCAATCCGGATTCAGTGTAAGGCGCTGTAAATTCTGCATGCTGATATCGGTTGGCTAGTATCGATATACTACCAACTGCGGCGTCAAAGTTCTGCATCAATCCATTGAAAATTGGAAAAAACAAGTTGTGATTAGCACCCAGTTGTTGGACAATGTATATAATCCTGCAATCAACCTCTTACCTTTAAATGAATTTGCTCCACTAAAGCATCAAATGTGCCATCGAAGGGAAGAAATTTGTATGGCAAATGAAATGGCAATTCTTGTAGAGTGGCTTTAAAGACATCAATTGCAAGTCCTCTATAAGAATAAGAGATGTTATTTCCCAAGTGAACTTGTTCCACTTCCACATATTGTTTGAATGTTGCTCTGGTTGGAACACCAATTTTCAGTGGATTGGCACTTGTTGGGGGACTCCATCCTTTCGGTGTACCCCGAATCCCCCCTGGCCAAAAAACTTGCCCCAAAGCGTTCATGGAAAATTTAAATGTATCACTTTCACCAATTGTCTCTGAGAAACCTCGTCCATCTGACCAGAAACCAAGTTCTTTGTAGCTCTCTCCATTCACATTGATGATCTGATATGTATGTGCTGGAGCTATTGTTTGACCAGTAAAATTAATCTTCCCGCTTAAGCCATCAAAATCACTTTGCAAAATGTTTGATTTAATTTGCTGCCTTCCCTGCTTCTTCTTGCTCATTGCAAGGGCCGCTGTCCATGCTACATCATAAGCCTCTGCTGCAAAAATGCTGGGTTCATGGTTGACCACTTCAGGATGCTTGGAGCTAAACCGCTGGCGAAATTTATGACGAAAATCCTGAAAACGGGATTCATTTTCAGGGATGTAGCTCTTTACTCCAACTATTCCTTGCATTGATGAGATGATAGAGGCATTGAAGGAATGGACAAGGCTTGCAAAAGGATCCGTAATGATCCACACGTAATCCTTTTCCATCATGTTCATTATTTTTGCCTTCTCAAATAGCTCAACTGCCAATGGCAAGGACAAGTGGACTACAAACACTCTATTTTGGCTGATCTTGAGTCCCTCAAGCTCCTCTGACCGCAATGAAGAAGCAAAAGGCTCGATAGCTACATAATGGCTGATTTCTGCACCTACTTCTTTGAGAGCATTAGATAGATGGCTTAGCACTGCTGGAGCTGAAAAGTCTCTGTCTTCATAGATTATGGTGACTTGATGCCACTCCCACCTTTGAACTATAGCTGCTATTGCTTCCATTTGCTTTAACTTGTTTGGTGAAGCTTGAACTAGAAAGGTGCACAATTCTGTTGCCCACTCTGGAGTTGCATCAGCTAAAGACATAATAGGAATGTGACTCTTACTTCCAATCTCAGCGACTAACGACACCTCTTCCCATGTTTGTGGGCCGAGAATTGCTTGCACTTGATACGTGTTGATAAGACTTCTGGCTGCAATTTGATCAATGTAAGGGCATTTAAATTTTATATTTCTTGCTTTTGCATACACAACTTCCGGGAATTAGTAATAGCAATGGTACTATGATGAGTATCCGTATTTCTTGCTACATGGTAAAGATTCTTAGCAGCGGAATGGTTAAACTAAGAAATTACCATTAAGTTCCAAGTATGTCATAAAAAAATGTGTCAAAATTGAATTAATAAGTAAGTTGCACTAGTCCTTCCGGTAGAGTGATGGTAAGTGGCCCACTACTAGCAACACCGATATATTCCCCAACTTAACTACCTACAAAGCTTAGTAGGTGTGGGGTTTTATGACAAAAATGCCTCAGTAATATTGGTAGTGGAACCATTCATTATATGTTATATTTTATGAGTGCTGCGAAACAAATCCTAAAATTAACTGAGTACACCATACTACCAAACTATTTATTGAATTACTAATTTACTCTAATATAAAATAACCAAAATGACTAACTTGCTGGGATGTAAAAGGACTCGCAGCAACTCATGTTAATGGGCTCAGTTGAGGAGAATATACTTTTGGTTTAGTGGTGCACATTCAAGCATATACCTGATGAGATGAAGTTGTTGAAAGATGTGGATTCACATTGTTCACCAGATGTTGGGTAAGGGATAAGGGAAAAGGCCCAGTCAATCAACCCGTTCTGATATCATGTTAAACTTAACCACCTAGAAAGCTCAGTAAGTGTGGAGTTTTATGACAAAAGGCCTCAGTGACATTGGTAGTAGAACCATTCATTATATTTTATATTTTATGAGTGTTGCGAAATTAACCCTAAAATTAACTGGGTACACCATACTACCAAATTATTTATTGAATTACTAATTTGCCATAATATAAAATAACGAAAATGACTAACTTGCTGGGATGTAGAGGGACTCACAACAACTCGTGATAATGGGCTCAGTAGTTGAGGAGAATATACTTTTGGCTTAGTGGTGCACAATCAAGCATATACTTGATGATATGAAGTTGTTGAAAGATGTGGATTCACATTAGTTCACCACATGTTGGGTAAGGGATAAGGGTAAAGGCCTAGTCAATCAACCCGCTCTAATATCATGTTAAACTTAACCACCTACAAAGCTCAGTAGGTGTGGAGTTTTATGACAAAAGGTCTCGGTGATATTAGTAATGAAACCATTCATTATATGTTATATTTTATGAGTGCTACGAAACGAACCCTAAAATTAACTAAGTACACCATATTACCAAACTATTTATTGAATTACTAATTTACCATAATATAAAATAACGAAAATGACTAACTTGCTGGGATGTAGAGGGACTTGCAGCAACTTATGATAATGGGCTCAGTTGAGGAGAATATAATTTTGGCTTAGTGGTGCACAATCAAGCATATACTTGATGAGATGAAGCTGTTGAAAGATGTGGATTTTCACATGTTGGGTAAAGGTCCAGTCGATCAACCCGCTCTAATATCATGTTAAATTTTAGAAAGACAGGCCATAGGCGGACCTACAGAGGCGCAAGGAGGTGCATATGCACCTCCTCTCACCGAAAAGAGCTCTGGAGGTTGTGGAATTTGCCCCTCAACTCTGCCATGAAAGTGCCCACAATCTGCTCGAAGAAATGCCTCTGTGAAATTGCTTTTTGTTTGCTGTGGTTTTGCATTGTTGGTGGGTTGTTGCGCGCAGCACAGCCGCATGCTTTTTTTTTAAAAGTCCCTGGCCAAAACAACTCGTTTTGGACCAGGGCAATGAAAAAAAATAGGGATCAAGCCTTATATTCTGCGGATACAATTAATATTATAAATAATTTAATATAAAGAGAGTCCTAAATTGAATTGAAGAAGCCAACAGACCCAAATCTCAAGGTATGTGTCCCCCCCCCCCCCCCCCCCCCCCCACTAGCGGATCCAGAAATTTTTTAACAGAGGTGCAATATTGACTAAGTATGAAAAATGTTTTTTTAGAATAATCATTTTCTCAAGATAATTTTTGGCGGCTTTTATTCCTTACACATCAAATAAGAAAACTTGATTTTATGGGATTTTAATATGAAGTATATATTGACTTAATGAGCCATCATTTTTAGCCTAAATCGTATTTTGCACTAAAACCGAATTTTCATATTTTGATTTGGTGAGAATTTGATTTTCTAGTATTTTTATTTGAATCCAAATGGGGGGTACTTCCTTATTTACATTGTAAACTTAAGTAAATGGAGTAATATAAAAATAAATAAAAGTAAAAGGACAAAGAGATTTACTTAAATGTTGAAAATGGAAATAAGGTAATCTGTACACCAGTTAAGCAAAGGGGCAATTTGAAGCACCCACAATGGTTTTTCCGGCAAGGGGAGGTGCAGCTGCACCTCCTTGCGCCTTGCTACGTACGTCCGCCAGTGCCCCCCCCCCCCCCCCCCCCCCCTCCCTTGGTCTTTTTTTTTTATGGTGTTTTATTTTTATTTTCTTTATAATATGTTTTTTTTTATAATAATAATTTTTTTTTATGTGGCTCTCTCTGTATTTTTTAATTATAAAGTTATGAAACATTACTAGTAATCTTCAATCGAATATTGCCCCTTCTCTGAAAAATTCTTGGGTCCGCCACTGAGACGGGCCAGTGACTGACTACTAGTAACACTGATATTGTCCACAACTTAACCACCTACAAAACCTAGTAAGTGTGAGGTTTTATCACAAAATGCCAGAATGATATTAGTAGTAGAACTATTCATTATATGTTATATTTTATTTAGTTAAGTTTCCGATGTGGAACTTATATTAATTCTTCAACACCGGAGAACGCAAGAAGTGGTGAAACGGAATTGAGATACAATACCATTTACAAACCATAATATTTTATTTAAAATTGCAATTATTTATTTATTTATCAATTATAAGCTAATAAAAATTAATTAATTTTCAAGTTTGACTTGCCCCAAGACTTGTCTTTGTCATAGAACAATACACTCTGTAAAATTTTATCTTGTGTGATCCTCTTCAGTTTTATATTTTCAAGCAAGAAAAATGGATACATGATCTAGTTTTCCTGTTTGGTCTAAGGGGTTAAATAAGGAAGCGTGAATGTTTCATCACTGAAACATGTTTTGTGGGAGAGTTGTACACAAATTTCTGCTCAAAACACACAGCTTAACAGTGAAGAGAAAAAAAAAAAAAAAAAAAAAAAAAAAAAAAGCAAGGAAGCTGCCTGCAGGGGGTCCCCTTGAGAGTTTCTGATCTTCAAATCCAAACGCTGATTGCTTGTGTTAATGAAATCCTCCACCGCGATCTGCATTGCAATGCTCTCTTCTTTGCCAATTCGAGAACTGTTGTCTACAATGGCACCTAGTATGCCTATGAAACCATCATCCGTTGTTGTGTCACTAATTCCATAAACTATCAAAATTTGTTTAAGTAGTAAAACAAAGGCCATGAAGGAGAGAAAAGCTGAAAAGTTATCCATTTTGTGCAAATATGGCAAGCAATGGCTTTGTTTGTTTTCCTGTTTATAAGAAATAGAATTGGTCTCGTATTCTTTTATGCCTATTAAAATGACTCCCTTCGTTTTCTTGGGTCCTAGTCAATGCAAGGAATTGTCTTTCCTGTCTTTTTCTTTTTGTCACTAAGGATTTAATCTCTCTGCAGAATGTGTGGTGTTCAGCAATTATGGTTTACTTTCCTGGTCATTGAGACAAAAACAAAGATGAGATAGTAATGCCGTGAATTAGCAATTTCTTTTTGTTATCACCGGGGAGGGGGATTTGAACTTGAGTCCTCTTTCAAGTCATAGTCGCTGTAAATTAACAGCAATTTAATCGGTTACTTAAATTTCCAAGCAAGTCAACATCAATTACACATAGTACGGTTGAACGTGGAATGACTACTTGATCAGTGTTTGTACAAATTTCCTCACGAGAATATTCGTCTAAGATTCCTTTGTCTTCTCCACTTCTCTTTCTCCCTGCAAAACAAATCGGGGTAAAAGGACCACACCCGGGGGGTGTTGACCAAAGGCCCTCCGATGCCTAAGTTAGGTAGGGTATTTCAAGGAAAACCGGGTGGCCGGAGCCGTGTGTGGTGGCCGGAGCCTTGTGTCAGAGAGAGAAAGAAAGTGGTGGCTAGGGTTTGTAAGAAATAATTTCTGCGGAGTTTCAGTAGGAATTTAGACGTACCTTGACCTTTGTGCGTAGCCAAGTATTTATAATGGTCTCGGATATTAGGGTTTCAGAGGAATAATTCCGTAGTTGGTAAGGAATTATTCCTCCCTGATTTGGCATTGATTTGATTAATTAGGGATTTGATTTATTTGGGTAAATCAAATCCCTAATCGTGGTAGGTATCAGATCAAATCCTAATTTAATTAGGTAACTCCTCATTTAATTGGGAATTGGGGTAGGAATCAAATCAATTCCCAACTTAATTAGGTAATTCTCAATTTAATTGGGTAACTCCCAATTAAATTGAGTAACTCCCAATTAGGTTGAGTAATTCCCAAATAGGTCAAATAATCCCCAAATGGAAGGAATTATTTGACCTAGGGTATGATTTAATTCGGTTCCCACAATCAGTTTCTAGTAAGATCTATATATATACACATATATTTATGCAGTTAAGTAGTAAAAAATAAGTCCTACTTAGACACGTCCATTTTGAAAGCTATTCTTTTTCATGTTTGAACAAGCACCGTTGCCTTGGCATTCAAGTTCATGTTCTTTGGATTGTAACGTTTATGAAGAAGACAAGATACATATTAAATTACAAAATAATGGTCTAAACTATTGCAAGTTTTGAAAATAGGGTTCTAAGTACCTGTTGGTCTAAACTGTTGAAAGTTTAGAAAATAATGGGTCTTTGAATTGTTCCAAGTCATCAGTTCTGGGAAATAGAAATGTTTTGCCATCCTAATTACTTTTAATGTATTTCCTCAAATATGACTAAGACCTTAAATATGAATAAACATGAGTTATTTTAGGGTTTTAAGGGATTTGGCCCTTGTTGTATTTTATATTAGGACTGACCTCATGCCTTTGACAGTTTTGATTTAAGTCCAAACTTGACTTGTGAAGCCACCATCACTTGCACAAGAGTCATCGAAGAAGAATATGTCCACTATATCTGATTGTTGTATCCTTTTGTGTGATTTTCTTTTCCCTTGGGTCTAATAATTTGATGTGCTTTTAAGATTAGATTTTAATCCAACCTGTTTGATGAATCATAATAAATAAATTCACACTAATCCGAATTATTTCGTGTTCAATTTGATTCATCAACCTCGAAATGAAGTTCGTCTGATATTTTGATTCTTTTCCAGTAAACTTGTCCATTTTGTGCAAATACGGCAAACAATGGCTTTGATTCTTTTCCTATTTATAAGAAATGAAGTTCGTCTGATATTTTTTACTCAGTATTAAAATGTTTCCCTTCTTTACTGGGGTCCTAGTCAATGCAAAGAATTGGTTTTTGTGTCTTTTGCTTTTGATCAGTAAGGACCAATCTATCTGCAGAATGTATGGTGTTCAGGTTATCATTTACTTTCTGGTCATGGCATGAACAAGATAAAAACAAAAATGTGATGGTAAAAGAAGAGGAAATGAGACAGAAAAATGTATAGCGTCCAATGCATATCATGACAGGGATTATCGGTTAATATATATATATATTCTTTTTTTATCAATTGGGGATGAGGATTCGTACTTGAGACATTTTTCAAGACATCTTTCAGTAATTGTTAACTACATTCATGTTGACATTGTCTTCATTACTTAGATTCCAAGCAAGTCAACACCGATCATCCATAGTAGGGAGAAACGTGGAACGATCCACTTGATCAATTTCCTAGTAAGATTCATATATATACATATTAATATATCTCTCGTTCACCATCCACTTAAGTACATGAAAATTAATTAAATGCTACTTTGACATGTTCATATTCTTTTTTATGTTTAAACAAGTAGCGTTGCCTTTGCCATTTAACTTCATGTTATTTGGACTGTTTTATGAAGACTAGGTGAAAGCTTACGTTACATATCAAGACCGTGTTTAATTATATGGGAATTAATGTTGGTCTGCACATTGCAGTCTATGGTCTATACGTGTTGATTGATATAAAGTTTTGAAAACAATGGTCTTTGAATTATTCTGAGTCATCAGTTCTTGCAATTAGAGAAAACATTAGATTAATTCCTCATTCTGCATAGTCTTGAATGATGGAATGCGTTGAAGAATGTTCGATTATCCTAATTACTTTCCTCAAATATGACTAAGGAAGTGATTAACTTTTTCGGTCAAATTTGAGAATAATTAAATTAAGAGTTGTTTTTGTTGGAAGTTTGAAAGCAAATGTCTCACAAGGAAACAAAAGGTTCTACATGCTTTATAAGCATGAAACCTTAACACCAATTAAATAAGATTGGTGGGCTAATGGGCTTGGTAGTGAAGGTTATACATGGTTGGCTTGCTTGATTAATAATAATATTTTATTTTTTGGATTTCTTTTAGCAGAAGTTAAATTCAAACCAAAAGTCTTATCTTTTTGTTTGAATTTGAACAGGTATAACTGATACTAACTGCTATTTTGAAGGGGTGCAATTGTGTTATAAAACCACAAGTCCTAGGAGATAGACGCCTGTTGAACTTCAAGCACTGAGGAGAGACGAAATTTTGTCTTTATGACATTGCGAATCTGCAAGCCTCTATCT